TTCTCCTCTAACAACTGCTGTAATTTTTCTTCTTGTTTATTTTCTTTCTCCTCCAACAACTGCAGTAGTGTCTCTTCTTGTTTCTTTTCTCGTTCTTCTTGTCTATTTTCTTTCTCCTCTAACAACTGCTGTAATTTTTCTTCTTGTTTATTTTCTTTCTCCTCCAACAACTGCAGTAATCTCTCTTCTTGTTTCTTTTCTCGTTCTTCTTGTTTCTTTTCTTTTTCCTCCAAGAACTGCTGTAATGTCTTTTCTTGTTTCTCTTTTCATTCTTCTTGTTTCTTTTGCTGCTCTTGTATTGCTGCCATCAAATCTGCTAAGCTGTAGTTTGATTTGCCGCTTCTTGTTTCCATTTTTTTTTCTTGTCCCACTCTCTGACACCAATTTGTTACGTCTCCGTTCGTTAATTGATTTTCCGTAACTTCGTTCCGACGAAACTTTAGCGACAGAAGTCCTTTCTGAAATAAAACTGGTTTATTCTTTCCGAATACAACTTTACGATACACTTAGTTTCAACAGTCGCGCTATAATTCTCAACGAACGTCTCACGTGCTCGAGTTCAATTAAGTCTAAGGGCGATAGAAAGTGAGTGAATTGTTGTGAACTATAGTGTGTGTAACTGTGAAAATTAAGTACATTACAAAGTTGTATTGAGGAAGAATAAACAAGTTTTATAAAGAAAGGACTTGTATCTTAGAATAATTAACAAACAAACATACAGAGACGTAACATACCACATGGATCAAACAACAACCGATGGACATTCTTTAATAGATATTTTAGGCAGATATCTATATTTAATTGACTACGATATGGACGGCTACTGCCTATTAGAGAAGCAATTGTAAAAATACAATTGATAAAATAAAATTTACTTCTGCAACACAAGTGTAGAGGACGACGACGTTTCAAGCGTTTCAGTTTGCTTTGTTTTGAATTTCGCGCAAAGCTACACGAGGGCTATCTGGGTTAGCCGTCCCTAATTTAGCAGTGATAAACTAGATAGAAGGAACTGAGTCAACATTACTCACCACCAACTCTTGGGCTACTTTTTATAATAACGAATAGTGTGATTGATTGAAATATTATAACGCTCCCCCGGCTGAAAAGGTGAGCATGTTCGGTGACTGGGATTAGAGCCCGTAACCCTCAGATTTCGAGTCGAACGCCTTAATCACAAGGCCATGCCAGACCCTAGTTACATTAGTAGATTGTATGTTACCAAATATATCTTTTACAAGTGTTTCTCTAGTAGACAGTAACCGCCCATTTCACAATCAATTCAACCACTAAGTATTATCTTCTTTGCCGAATTCGCATCCTAGTAAATTAATTTATTTCTGTATATTATTATATAAATTTTTAATTGACTATCATATTGATATTTAAGTTCTTGCTTTTGTAATTTTACTATTCCACCGGTGTTAGTAAAAGCATGAAAAAAATTACTGTTGTGGAGAAAATGTTTTATATTAATAGTTGGCCCCGTTTTCATTGTTTTATTTGCTTACATAACATAGTGTTTCGAACAGGTGCGTTGTATCTGTAAATTTCATGCTATACATTTTTTTCGTGGTAAATATGATTCGAAACTATATTATATTATGAATTCATAAAAATGGTAAATTTACAAAATTGTAGAAGTTAACTGTGCATTTTCGACCTTTTTTTGTTGTAGTTCTTACAGTTATGATTTATTACGATATTGTAATCATTATCACATATAGGGCATAGGCCTGTCAGTATCATATTCATACTGATACATGAAGGTTGTGTGTTAGGTCTATAGATTTACTGAAAAGTAAAATATAAGATGAAAAGCTATTGATAAGTATATTTGAAAGTTTTGTACTTTTCCGTCGACGAGCATCTGTCGGGGTTACCCTCCCTCTCCCTATCTATAGTATAAGTATAACGAACTTTGGCTTGGGGTAACCAACTGTACTGAGGATGATTTACACCTAGGCTAATGGATGCATAGCAGAGCAAAATAATACTAAGTAAAGTCAAAATATAAATATAATAAAATTTATAGTAGGAATGGGGTGGATGCACAATACATGCAATACAAACTATTTACTCATATACACCTTTAACAACCAAATATTGAAAAACTAAATCTTCAAAAATATTCGAGAGACACTTATTTGATAAAAAAAACATAAAATAACAAACAAGTTGTACAACTACTTGAGAAAGTTGGCAGAGCAGTTACAAAAAGTTCACAAAACCACAAACTTTTCAATGTCACTGACTGACTAACAAATTGACTTACCATACTTATAAGTGCACCTAACAGAATATTAGCACAGAAACCATATGCTAATGTTAGCATTTTTCTATGCCAGACATTACCAAAAAGAAGAACTATTTGATGTATATCAAGTAGTAACTTGAACAAGGATACCATTTTAACATGCATACATCTGCTCATTCACTTCATACACTGAGTAGGTGTGATCAAAACAGTGAAGGAGGGTGGTCTTCTTGATCTACGGCACTGTGTGGCAAGATTTGGAAACTGTGAGTATGGGGTATGCCAATGTAGGGTGAGCATTGTCTAGGTTAGAAGACAAGCTATGCTTATTTGCAAGTAATTTATAATAAGTATTGTAAATTAAATCAAGTTTGCATTCATGAAGCATTTAATAAATAATGTAATATTATGGTGCACACCCACACTGATGATATACACATGAGTTATTAACACCAATTAATGAATGATGCATAAAATCATGTTACCTTGTATGAAAAGGTGCATAAACAAGTTGAAAAAATAATTTAAAAAAAATTTAAAATGTAGGAATGAGTGCACCAAGAAATGAGGAAACAAGGTAATAATGGGAATGGTGTAATACTTCCTCTGTACAACCTCACAATGGGGTGTGTCCAATATCTAGTCTGTGCCTACTTTGTTTTTCTGTGTTCATGATATTATACAACTTATGGGTACATACAAAAGTTAATTTATTATTCTTGTATTTTTGTATAGACAGTAATGAATCCATGATGTCGATACACAGAAACCTTTTAGGATTTTTTATTTTGGTATTTTAATCCACCTATGTAGCTAATGTACGAAATCATGTTGCCTTCTCTTGGAATTGCAAAAGGAGGGACAAGTTGAGAAGAAAAAAAAGTTATGGGTCCATACTAATATCTGATTCTTTTGGTGTCATATAAACAGATTTTACAATACATATATTGCCTCCAATAATTTGATTCACATAAACCTCTAGTCATTATATGGTAAACATAACAGTTTAATAAGTTTAGTCCACCTGATGTATTTTATACAGGATAGAATAAGTGAAGTAGGCATGGACCAGATGTTGGACATACCCCTTGTAAAGTTGTATAGATTATTTTTTTAAACCATGCTCATTTTTACACTTTAAATTTTTTAACAAATATTTTTTTCACTTGTGACATTATAAGGTGTGGTTTCTTCATTGCATTTTCTGCAATACACATAGGTACTGCAAGATAGTAAACATAGTATTAAGATTAGTAGTTACAAACAGCACACACAGGTTTGTGGGAGTAAATGTGATAAGGAGTCATGGGTATTCAATTTTCTTGAAATAAAGTAATAAAAAGCATAAAGAAGTTTAGATGTATTTAAAATAACATTCAACTTTTAGATATGCTTATATAAAGCTTGATATCTTAGGTTTTTCAGGAAATCTGTGGACTGCTTTCTGAATGAAGAGGTTTTTGTGTTTTTCAGTAATTTTCTATGCATGGATGTGAAGAAACATAATTCAATATATAATTGTATATTTATACATATATGTATATATTGTATTATCACACATTTATTTATACTTTATTAGCCCTGCTATTAGAGTTATGCCAGTTATAACAAGTTTTAATGTCTGTTTGTGCCACTAATGCTACTCGTGCAGATATTGAAGAAATTTAGTAGATGAATACTATGATTGTAAGTTATATTTTTTAATATTTTAACTTAAATATTTGTTTGCAAGAGGGTGCATATCATGGTGATGCAAGATTGAGAAATTTTATGAAAGTTAGTCTCCATAACTATAAGAATCTCAAAGCTTTAGAATCCTAGTACAGTGTAAAAGTGACTGAGTGGAGTAATGAATGAATCAGTTCAATGCCAATTAATTAGACAGTGAGAGTTAGTATGTCTATAATTTAGTTAGTTTGTCAGCATGCTTGCTTTTCAGTTTATTAGAGAAGAAATTCTGAGTTAAGTTTATACATTACTGTCAGAGTTTGTAAAGTTAAGTTTACAAGTAAATGTAGCCAGTAGCAAATATTATTGAAGAAATAAATTAGTTATCCTTATGTGGGCTGGACTTGGTATTATTTTTTCCAAAGAACGTAAAAGTAATACCAAGTCCAGCCCACAGAACATATTACAATACTATCATACATGGCAGCAGTTTCGATAGTTCCTGACCTTGTTTGTGGCCTAGGACTGTATTTAAGAAACAAAATTCATAATACACTCAAAAATGTAGAATTATCTAGGGAAGTCTTTAACATACAAAGGTTTTAGTCTATAGTTCAAGATGTTATAAATTTGCCATCAGTAAATAATCTACCTATTATTACAGTAGTACTTCCATGTGATGAAGTTTGGAAAACATCAGATCCAAAAATACATGAATGTGCATCTGTAGCAGTAGTGGTATAAATGTAGCCATTGTATTATGTGAAGATGAGAGAACACAAGTTTAAGATTTGGGAAAGATAGATTAGGCTCTAGTTAAAACAGTATGATATTTATAACAACATAATTAGGTTATGAATTGCTAAGCCATTAGCAGTAGTAGAGGACAACACTTTAGAGTCATTTAAAAGGGAAATTTAAAATCATCTGAAAAATAAAGGGTGGGTTTAAGTTTTATTTTTATTAAGAGTGAGTGTACAATAGCTTTGAAGGTCCATGTGGTCTCTTGTCTGTATGTTATTGTTGAAGGAATCTCTAGGATAAAGACCTCTGATTTCTTTGTGCTGTATGCTGAAAACAACAGGATAGGAGGACACAAGTTTAAGATTAGGAAAATACAGTTTTATTTTTCTAACAGGTATAATTGACTTACAGTAGTGATCCCCAATAAGCATCCTGTTAGCCAAATCAGGCTCTGAAAGCCTGATTCATGGCATGAACTGACATCATATATTACAATTTAAGCAAAACTGTATTTGGAGAATGATGTAGTCTCTTACAAGCTCAGACCCAGTCCGTTCCATTATGGTCATCATCTGAAGTGCCACATTGTGGAAAATAATTGGGGACTTCTGGTTTATGTATGAGATGCTGTAGTGGCAGTTGTAGACGTCAACATTTTACCAGAGTATGAAAGTAGAATAGTTTTCTTGAAAAACAAAAGGTTGGTTTAAACTTAATTTTCTCATGGGTGAGTGTGTAAGAACAGTTTTAAAAAATGAAATGATCCTTTGTCTGTATGCTATGTTAGTGAAATACCAGCAGGGTTCGCAAAAACAAATTTCAGTTCATTATGGAAATGATGAAAATTAAACTTTTGGTTGGGGAAATAAATTTTTCCAACATAAAAGTGAAATTCATAATTTAAAATGTGAAGTCTTTTATATTCACATTTTCATACCTTCATCTGTTTCTTACTGCTCTCCTACATTACCTCTCATCCCTTCACATTATTTCTAAGGCACTTCTTCATGCTTTGGAAGAGTTTCTGGAGAAGTTTTTCTTCTGTTCATCACTTTAGCCTGTACAACTACTACTGCTTTATCCCTGTTTACTTGACATCTCTGCCATTGGGACTTGTTAGATCAGAATGCTCTCCTAACTAATGCTGATCTGCCATATTTTTATCTTCATGAATTTTGTTATACTCCTTTTCTTTGCCCAAAGGTCTTCAGAGGTGTTGCTGCCTCACTGAAGACCCTGGCTGAGGTGGCCTGGCATCAGTCCTCATTGTTTACTTTGGTTTCTTGTCTTTCTCAGCCTCGCCCTTCAGTTCTTGTTTCTAGGTCTGCTCCTCTTCCAATTCCAGCTTCCCAATCTTCTTCTTCTTGTCCTCCAACTTGTTGACATTGTGGTTGTTGCTTGTTTTGTTGATGACTATCTTGTCATGTCTGGCCCAATGGTATCACATTTATCTCACTTTGATAGCCTTTGGTCTCCTCTTTTGGCTGGCAGATGGATTCTTCAAGTTCTCACAGCCTATTTCTCCACTTTTCTTTCTTCCCTCTCCCCTTTTCCTGTTTTTTCCTTCCAATCCTGTTTATCTTGAGGATGTGGTCTCAGATCCCTTGGCCAAGGGATATTACTCCCGTCTCTTTGTGTTCTTCAAGTAAACCAGAGACTGGCATCCATTAATTAAACTGTTGCCTCTCAGTTGGTTTCTAGTCATCCTGCTGTTCTGTATGGAGGGTTTCTTTTCTCTCTGGTGGTATTTTTAAACTGATCCATGGATGACCAAGATTGATGTGTCAGACGCATTTTTACACATTCTTGTTGCTCCATCCCCCAGGCATTTTCTTCATTTCTTTGAGTCTTCCAGTTTCATGTTCTTCCTTTCGTCATTGTGTCTGTTCCTTATGTCTTCACTCAAATCATGGAGCATTTGCACACCATATTCACAGATTGAGTCTGAGGTTCTATTATTACATGGATGATTGGCTTGTCCTCACCCTTTCCCAGGAAGACTTCATCTCTCACATCTATATTCTTCCTCAGGATGCTGCTAAGCCAGGCTGGCTGGTCAAGCATTCCAAGTCTTTTATCATGTATACCCAATATTTGGTACATCTCAGCATGTTTTTCAACTCTCATCTCAGTCAGGCTCAGCCTTCACCACTTCCCCTGTGAGCAATGGAATGTCTTGTCACCAAGATTTTTATTTCTCATTTAAACCCTGCATGCAAGGTTCTCCCACTTTTGGGAACCCTGGCTTCCCTAGAATCACTCATTCCTTTAAGCCACACACAAACATACACCTTCTCCAGTGGACATTGCAGGGCCAGTGGAAACTTTCTCAGGATCTGTTGTCCTCCCCTCTCCTCTTCTTGAGGAATTGTGTTGGTGGTTCACATCCCCTTGTTGCCCATGACCAGATCTCCATCTTTTCACAGATGCTTCTCTGTCAGGCTGGGTTGCCCTCTGAATGGTGTAATAACTTTGGGTGTGTTGGCTCTAGGTGAAAATCCACTCTACACCATTGTTCTTGCAGTCTGTTGAACATGTTCCTATATCTTTCCTCTTCTAGTAGATCAGTTGGTTATATTTCACTTTGTCAGCTCCATGGCCATTTCTTATATCAACAATCAGGGGGATAACCATTCCAGGACTCTTTGCTTCCAAGTATTGGACCTGCTGTTTCAGGCTTATTTCCAATGGGTACCTCTCATAGCTTATCATGCGCTGAGGGCTCTGAACTCAGTGGTATATAGTCTTTCTGAGCTGGACAAGATTCTACCCATGGAGTGGTGTCTCTACCCTCTAATTTTTCCTTGGTGTCAGTCTCATTTGAGCACGCTTCCCCTTTCAACACCAAACTTCCACTTTTCTGGTCCCCAGTTCCTCATCCTTTGATCCTAGCAGTCGATACTCTCAGCCAGGACTGGTCTCATCTTTTACCATATGCTTATCCTCCTCTTTGTCTCCTCACTTGTGTCCACAGTTTGATACATGACACTTTTTTGGGCCCTGTTGGAGGTGACTCTTTGTCCAGCACAGCCCTGGTTTCCTCTTCATATATGGGATTTGTTTATTGCCTGCAGGGCTGGATACTGATTATATAGCCTTCTTCTTATCCATCTCCTGTTGTCTTTCAACTTTGTCCATATGTCAATGAAAGTAGCAAGTTTTTCTACATTGGTTCATCTGCCACTCTCTTCCTCAGGATCATCCTACTGTTGCCCACCTCTTGGCTTTTTTGACATGGTTGTTCAGTCATGAATTATTGATTTTTACTATTACTGGTTATTAGGAGGCTTTATCAACTACATTTTGTCATTCCCATTACCACCAGATATTTCCTTCTCCTGGCTTCTCTACTTTGTTCTGCTCCTTCCTTCTTCACTGACATCCTTGTTGTACTCCCATGCCTGAATGGAACTTTAGTATAGTTTACACAGTTTCACACATGCTCCATTCCAGTCATTGGCTTCATATTCTTTATACCATCATTCTCTGAAGACCTACTTCCTTCTCACCTGTGGAGATTATGACACCGTGGTGCCTTACAAGTGTATTTATACAAATTTTCCTGGTTGTTTCGTCTTGCTGCACCTTGGTCCACTATCACTGTCTGTCAACAACCACCTGACCAATCAGCATTCTGCTCTCATTTCATCAGGCTTACAGCTGCTTCCACCCACTTGTAGACTCCTGCTGTGGTGTTTTAAGTTCTTTTCTAGTAAGATGTAAGCAGCCTCCAATGCTTTCTCTAGTTTTTCCATTCATTTGCTGATGATTTTAGTTTCCTTTCATTTAGGCAGGTGCCCTGCTTCCTCTGCATGTGCTGCTGTCGCCTTGGTTTTGTTGTGTCTTCTGACATCTGCTTTGTGTTCATTTAGTCTTGTTGTCAGGCCCCTGCCAGTTTCACCTATGTACACTTTACTGCATCCTCCATATGGAATGCAGTATATTATACTGCTATCTGTTGTATGTTTCTGTCTTTTGTCCTTTACCACCTCTCTTATTTTTATTCCTGCTTTTGTTACCACCTTTGTGATTGTGGTTTTCAATAGTCTGTTGATGGGACTTTCTTTCCAGGCACTGGAGAACACTATGAATTTCTTGTTTCTCTCATCTTGTCTGCTGTTGTTATTCCTTTCCATGTTGTTCCTTGCTTTCTGCTTTAGCATTATGAGCATGTATGTACATCTCCTTTTTGGAGTTTTTGTCATCGTCTGTTTCTTTTGCCCTCTACTTTTACTGGATTGATCTACCAATTCCTCTGGTTGGTGTGTTATTTCCTGGATACCAATGCTCACAGGATTTTCTATGTTCCATATCACCATATTCATCACTAATTTCACTCTGCTGTGTTTCATTTTCACCAACGCTTGGAAGAGAACACTGGCTGGCAAGTGAATAAATCCACACTTTCGTTTTTCCTTATCTTCATCATTTGTCTATTGCAGAATTTCAACTCTGCCCAGTTACTATTATTCAATCTATACACCATTTTTGAGAAGAGTAAGTACATTTTCTCTTTCATCACCCTCTTATATGATCCCACCAGGTGGCTGGTGCTGCCTCCTTGGGTATTCTTATTTCTCAAATTTCACATTGGACCCAGGGTAACAGAAAGTGCTCAACCCATCTGTCTTGACTCTACCGATCCCAGCTGTTGAGATGGGTTTTTCAGAAGATCACTGGAGGTATTCTCGTGGTGTTAAAATTACTCAATTGCCTGATTCAGACCATACCTTCTACATATAATCATGGACAAAGTCAGCACTGGGGAAGTGACTGCTAACTTCTTTGGCTTGTGCTTGCAGGCTTATAAAAACATGGTTTCATGGCCGCTCATTAAACTGTCTCCAGTAAAAGACTTTTCCGGCATGAATTTGATGGGGATCCAGGTACTTCTCTGGTTCTCCCCAACCACAAATCTCTTCCTTTCCCCCATTTTTTGAGTGGAGCATTTGGAAACCCTTGCCACTTATCAGTTCCTTGCCACTGGGGTGGTAGACCTTGGAGAGTTCTTCAATAATTATTTACAGCACAATACAATATGAAGTAGGGTGATGGCACTGTCTGCGTAGTGGGGGTTACCTCTCAAACATCCAGTGTGCCCTTCTCCTGTGGTAGGACAGGTTTGCCACTCCTTCTCTGTCTGTCCAGTTGAGCCGAGGTCGAACACACTGTATGGTCTGATCATGTCCTAATCACACTACACTCCTTGGCCCATTGAGGATGAGCAGTTGATCATGTAAACCTTCTGTCCATCTCAGTGGCACTTAAGGCTCTTTTACCTTTCCCTCTTTCCTTCTGGGTGAAGAGTATGCCCTGGTCAAGATGAGATGCTGTCTCCCACAGGTACCTCTGCCATTAGGTGTCACACTCTATGGGCTTTCCCTTTTGGTACTTTCTTAAGGGAGCTAATTTAGATTTCTTATTTGCATGGGCCCCTTTTTTATTTTGGTACGGGATTCTAGCTATTCTGTGTGTGAATGTGAGGTATTGTCTTGGAAGTTAACATTTTCCATACCTTAAAATTTTTTTCAAATAGATACCTTCCTCTTCACACCTTCCTCCTGTCCTCCCCACTTCCATTGAACTATCTTCTTCCCTCATCTAAGAATGAAGTTATTTTGAGCAGAAGTATTTAGGATGAGCTATTGAGTGAGGAAGTTGCATTGCCTTTCTATTGGTGAAGGACTATTTTTACATGATGATGTCGTGATGCCCCAGTGCAACTCATATTAAATGTGCATTTTAGATGGGAGTTAGCTCAAGGTTAGTGTCATGCAAATCTCATAGGCAGATGCATGGGGGATGAAGATGTTGTGTGTAAAGAGATGAGTATCATTTTGAAATATATTTTCATTAAAGTAAAATGTTAACTTCGTATGTTATTCAGTGTACTATGAGGAAAACTAGAAATATCATGGAAAGTGAAGGAAACAAACATAAAAAATTGTATGGGAACTCTATAAAAACCAACTCATGTTGGCTAATTATAATGATCAATAAATTTTTTTTCTGGTTTTACAGAACTTGCTGCTTTAAGAACTAAGAGCACATTTTGCAAGCTGGAACCATTCTAAAATATTATGGAAGATTATCAGATAAAATACAGGTCTGTTCAAGGTGCTTATTTGTGGGTCAAAAGTAGTATAGCTGCAGAGCTAGAAAGTAAAGAAGAACTCTTAAAAGGTGAGATGAAAATGACTTATAGAAAAATAGTAATAATACTTAAATACATTCATGACAGATTTGCTATATCACCTATTGATAAAGCAGAATACAATATAATTTTATTAGCAGAAAATTATTTGCTCAAATCATAATTATTCATTAAATTCTGCATATACAACTCGTATTATTAACAAATTTGTTGAAAAAGTTGTGAATATTACTGAAGCATTTAAAAAATTTAGTTTGAAGCTTTTTATATTTCTGTAATTAATTTATTTGTGCAATTCTTAAATTACTTAAAAGTCCAATTAAATTACATTTAATACTAGTTCAGTAAAAACAAAACAACCAAACTGTTAAAATATATATATCAATCAAATTGGAGGTGAAGATCCTAACATTCATAATTTTTGGTTATTAGGCAATAATGAAAAGGTTATACATGATCTAGAAACCTTAAGTTATTTGTAGCCCATTGATCTATGCATTACTAGTTTTGGATTCTAGGACAAACTAAGGACCTCAAACTTTGATGAACTTGAAAGTAACACAAAACAATTCACTTCCAATTAATTATCCAAGTGTTATTTCATTACTATGCACATCTCAATGAGCTTGAATTCAGATTATCTAAAATCACAATATGTTAAACTAATAACACTATATAACTAAATTATACATCAATTTAAAGCTTAAGAAGAGAGGAAAATCATGAATTTAACACTGCAAATGTCAGACTATCACAGAAGATAAGAAAAACAAAAAAATATATTTATTTTTAACATTACAAATCATCCCTTCAGTTAAAGACCTCTTATAATTAGGGTGTAACTTTTTACAACCCATGTTTTACATTGAATTTGTGTCAAATAAATTGCCATGAATTCCATTGCTAGGGCAGTTAGTAGGGGAAGATTTTAATTTTCAGTTCAGGATTATGATTTTCAATACCATTTTTGAGGGATATGTGGGGGTGTTTGACAAAATGTGTTGCAGAAACTGAAAGTAGATAATTTGAAGTAGGAAGTATCTATTGTTTAAAAAAGGGTGAAAAAATGAAACAATGGGCTAGAAATACCTTAAACCTATGTGCATAGGGTCAAAGTGTGCATATCTTGACTTTTACAGCATTACATTCAAAATTTAATCAAACAACTTTAATATCAGTGTATGTCAGTTACCTTGGAATCATGATACAGTTTATGATTCAAAGTTTTGATTTTTAATTTAAATAAGAAATATTTAGATAAACTCTGTCTTCACTTCTATGTGTCACTTAATGCCACTGCTCTGAATCCTCCATTTTAAAATTTCTTTTTTCCCTTAAGTGGATTTCAGAATGTCCAGCAATTAGATACACCAACTATAGATATTGACAGGCCAGAATTTAAAATTAAAACCTACCTCCTTTATTTTCTGAAACGTTGATAAATTTATTACATCAACCACAGAAGCCCCTCTCAGCTCTTCATGCTTTTGAAATTATTTATTTACTGATGCTTACTTGTCAATGGTACACGTTTATTATTTATAGAAAGTCTATTTTGTGAACTACATGATTATGTCATCTTTATGTTAATTTATTTCAGTAAAAGACCATTTCTCAAGCATGTTTTATTCAGTGAAGACCAAAGTCGGTCCTCTGGTAATTAATTAAATTTTCTAAAACTACTTTTAAGTCAGTTAGATAGCTGGATAAATTATAGTAGTTTGGAGGCATTCTGTTATTACTGTTTGAATTATTGTTTGTGTTTTACGATGCATATTTTAAAGCTACATTAATTTTGTTTGGCAAATTCAACTTAATGAGAAAAATTTAGGGTTAGTGAAGACTGGGTTCTCAGAGCAAAAGGGACTCAATCCTGAGGTAAATGTTAACTTTTTACATTTTTATTTATTAATATACTAGCTTTAATACCAGTCCCCTGATAGAATTTATGTAAATTCATGATTAATGAAAGGCTATCTTAGGACATGCCAAATTTGTTGAAGATCCATCAACAGGGTGCAAAGTAATGGTAAAACACTCATAAAAATTGCAAAATGCAAAATTGAAAATTTGTATGTACCACCACATGGACTTAATGAATATCCACACCAATTTTGGTGAAGATCCATCCACACTCTGTAAAGTAGTTACATGGACATACAATGCACTATTATTATATTTATACAGATATTTTTTTAACAAAAGCAACTAAAATATAAAAATTAAAACCTTAATAGTTTAATTAAGAAAATCTAATGAAAATATATAAATGCACAAGGAAGAAATGAAGTTAGACATCTCGTAATGTAACGTGAAATTTTGCTTATCCCAAACTCTGCAGTTTTCTATGTCATTTATTGCTGCTTGCAGTGGGTAGACATGGTTAAAAGAGCAATAGAATAATAAAATTAAATGAAAGGAAATGTAAACTGTTACAATCTGCAGTCATACTAAAAATAAAAAAAATGTGATTTAAATTTAATTTATATTTTTTTTGTAGTGGTTACATTATCAATCAAATATCATATCAAACCTAAATAGTGCTAGAATAGAGAAAATAATGATAAAATATACAGTTTCACAGAAAAAATACTTTTGATACTCATTCAGGAGATTCTAGAGGAGGTTATGTAAATGAAATATGAAACTGTAAGATGTAAAAATAGTATTTTTATTCTAACTTGAAACTCACCTTGCACTCAGTCTAAGTCAGACAATAACTAAATGCAGAAACAGATATTTAATGGAAATAATTAAAAATTCTTATTTTTTGTGTGCAACAGACTTGTACTTTTTACTAAAAGCTTGCCAAATTTCTGGAAGATACATTAAATTTGGAATTATAGAATTTCTAGTAAATTCTCCAGTACAGACTGTTAAATTGGCCAACCTCGTGCACATAGGGTTAAATAATGCAGAAAATTATGATTCAGACCACACATTAGATTTCATGAAGACATATAAAAAATTATATTGAACATCTTAGTCAAAGTTTTAAATCAAGTATTCTGATACGGTACTTCTTTCTGCTCACTGGAATAGCTTTTCCCATTTTATGCTGCCCTCTATATGCAAACTTTTTTATAATGCATGCCACAAGCCTTCCACAAAGATTCCAACATGTCTCTCATGCAAATCAACATGCTTCATCTCTCCACCAATAGGAGATCACTACTATCATGTGACTCCCTCTATGTGCCACTACTGAACCATCACTTCTTGTTTGGCAATGCTTTAGTTCAGATGTCTTTGTTTTTGCTCATTACTTCTCAAAGTGGTTTAATTTAATTTACTTTATTTCCAGAATTATTTTTTCACTTTATTTTCTAAAGCATTTTATTTACCTGTGTTTTGCCACAGATTTTTTGCTTGTTTATTTGGAATCAAGCATGAATTCCGAAGCTAACCTTACCATTTCGGGTACATCTCAATCGTCTGATGCCATACTTCAAGTCACAGGTTTGGGTGACCTGTTAGGGATTTATCGCCCTTTATTCGCGGGGATAGTGAACATTGTATGGAACAACCTTTGTCTCCTGCTGTTGCCCCTCCTCCTCCTGAGCCTTTTCGAGCCTGACCAGGCTGACAAAGATATTTATCCTTTGTCTCCCCCCTCCCGGAGTTTGCCGTGCCTGAGGATTCTGTTCGGACCTCATTGGCTTTCTTGGATTTTATTTCTCAGGTATGTGATGTTTTGTCTATTGCTCCTATTTCTTATGACCCATGTCCTTCCATATTATTTGATTCTGCCTCCCAACCTTATATAGTTTTCCCCCATCCCCTAATATTCGGGTTCACACTGAGAGTTTTGCCTCCCAGTTAGGTGATGGCATTAGTATGCCTCGTCCCCCATGTGCTTCGTATCAGTCCATCCTTGTTTTTCTTAGGGCAGACTGTCCCTAACTGGACCAACAATTGTTAGGCTCAGTTTTGATTGTTTGTGATACCTCTTCTCGATCCATCTCCTGTCTGAGGCTCTTCACAGGTACATGTAGGGGTTTTTTGGGGATGTCCTCTCCCTCCTCACTTCCACATTGCTCCGCCTGTTGTCTTTAGCTCTGGCCCTGCAAATGTGGTTTATTTGTTGTTGGGACATTTTGGGTTGTGATGCCATATTGTCACTGACCTATCTCTTGGCTCCTTATCTATGGGACCTTTGTATGGACCTGTTTTTGAGATGTTTTGTGTTTGACACAATCCTGGAGTCGAGAGTGGCTTCAGTCCAATAACAATCTACCCTTTCGCATCTGGTGGCCCGTTTGTCCCAGTTGAACCCGAGCATTGCACCAATTCCTGTCTCTTGACCCAGCTGTTCCTGTGGTGCCACTGTTCGTCGTTTTTCATGATGACACATAATACACTAACAAAGGTTCAGGTGGCGTACCTGATGGGTTCAGGTCCAATGGGAGCTTGTCTGGCGACCTTCGTTCATCGGTGGAGCCCTTTCATCTCTGATGTTTAGGTTTGCCGAGTTTTGTCAGAGGGATTCATCATGCCCTTTCTTAACCTTTCTTCCTTATCCCTTGTACCTGTTTTCTTTCCTCCTTCTCATGATCCCTTGTCATGCTAGTGGCTATCTAAGGCATTGAAAGACCTCCTCACACAACAGGATATTGAACCTGCTACATGCAGTTTGTGGGGGTTTTACTCCCACCTGTTTATAGTTTCTAAAAAGATTGGGGACTGGAAGTTGGTCATGGACCTGTCCCGTATCAATCGATATGTTCACACCCTACACTTCACAATGGAATCCTACCTTACTCTTTGGTGGGCTTTTTTTCCGGGTCTTTGGATGATGAAGATGGATGTCTTCAATGGTTATCTGCATATGCCCATATCAAAGCATTCTCGTCCATATCTTTGGTTTCTCCATCATGGGGTGGTGTACCAATTTTGCACTCTTCCATTCAAGTCGGCTTTGGCACTTTATGTTTTCTGTCTGGTGGTGCGAACCTTTGCTCTACATCTTCATGCCCTGAGGTTGTGCTTTCACTTTTACATAGATGACTGTTTTCTTGTTCATTCTAAG